CCACCAGCCGCCAGCCTCCTTCAGGAACACAGAGACACCATCCGCTGTTCCCCTCAGGCCCTGCACCCCACCGGCTCTGTCTCTGGAGCCTGACATGCCTTACTGGGCCCTTGGCAGCTCCTCCTCCTCCCAGCACCTCAAAGCCTCTCAGCGGACCCTGGCCTGCCACCTACCCACCCCGCAGCCATGCCCCAGTCCCTCCAGGCCCCGAGGGAGGCCTGACCCAGGGACAGAAGCCGGTGACACTGGAACGAGGTGCCAGGCTGCAGGCCTTGCAGGTGGGAACGGGCCTGGGGCCAGGGCACACAAAGGCAGCTGCAGGAGGTGGACCAGCCCGACACTGTGACCTGAGCCCAGTGAAGCCGCCTCGCACTCCTGGCCTCCAGAATTGTGACAGTAGTGTGTGTTGTAAGACGCCAGGTTTATGGTCGTCTGTTACCGGGCAGAGGACCCTTCCTGCCGACCTTGTGCTGACCCAGACTTAAGTGCCATTTCCTTAGGAAACTGTGACCGTGGGGACTAGACAGCATTGCTCCGGGACACCTCATGGCGCTTCCTCACAGAAGCTGTCACAGTACATATTTCTGCAGCATGGGGAGTGGGGGTGGGGTGGGGGGGGAGGGCCTGTCCCTCACGGGACTGCAAGTCCCATCAGGGCAGGACCTGCAAGTCGGCTCACCCCAACCTGAAGCACACAGCACCTGGTAAGTTCTTGGCAGTGAGTGGGAGAACAGCCATCCTGCCGCCCTGCCCCCCCAGCCAGGGCCAGTCACACAGGCGTCCTTGGAGGGGTCTGAACAGCCCTGGGGACCAGGTGGGAGGGCTTGCACAGGAAGGGACACCACTGCCGGGGAACCTTCTCGAGTGCTTTGGTCACGTGTGCAGGCACATGCGTCCTCACACAGGCTCTGCTGAGGTCGCCCCTATCTGTTGAATCAGGTTCCTGGCTGGAGCCCCATCTTGCCCAAATAACCAGATTCCTTCACAGGTCGGCATGTGCCCCAGCAGGCAGCTGCTTTGCAGGCTCCAGGAGCCAAGCGTTAGAGGAACTGGGCACCGAGGCAGGTGGGACGGAGCTGCACAGCCACGGCCCCTAAGGACCCAGGGCAGATGCAGGCTGCATGCGGTGCTGGACGGGGACATTCCAGCACCCACAGGGCCCTGCAGTTGAGGGGGGTGGAATTCTCAGAGCAATCCTGGGGGTGGGGGCGTGGAGCAGGGCTGCACACATGGATGGGATGCCCAGGTCCCCCCAGAGCTGCAGTCACAGGTTCTCCCTAGCAGGCCACCTAAGGCGGAGATTATTGTCACCCATGCAGAGAATAGCGTCATAACCGCTTAGTCGCAAAAGGACATGCCGGCAAAGCAGCTCTCCTCCGAGGCCAACTGAATACTTGTGTCTTAGCAGTGACCCCTTGATGAAGAAGGGGAGGAGTGAGTGACCCTGATGGCCGAGCCAAGGCCCCATGTCTCTGTAAGCCACCAAGTGTCAGAACAGTGTCAGCTGGCTGGCACCGTCAGCCTTTGGAGCTTAGATACACCGTTCCTAACTTCTCTCTCCGTCTCACCTCACTGTGTCTGAGAGCCGAAGTCCTTTCTTCTAAAATTAGTGCATCATCTCGGCCTCGTCTCATTGAGTCACTAAAAGTAGCAGAGACAAGTGAGAGGCCACAGCAGCAAATGCTCCCCTGACCGG